ATAACATACTGTATCACATTTAATCACTATTTAGTCATGGTCACATTTTAACAGTAATTTCTTCAACATTTAGAATTTTTGTAAATGGCAGTACAGTACAAATACAATAGGCCTTATATACTGTAGTTACTCTACTGGCACAATATTGCCCATTAATATTTAAGGTGTTTCATAGATTTCAGGAACTAAAATCTTCTATGACTATTTAAGGTACTTTTACATCTAAGATACAGTGCAGTTCATAAGTATTTGGACAGTGACACAATTTGTGATGTTTTGCCTCTGTACTCCAGCACAGTGGATTTGAAATAAAACAATGACTATAAAATTAAAGTGCAGAATGTCACTTTAATTCGAGGGTATTTACGTCTATATTGGGTGAACCACATAGGAATCACAGCCTGTTTGGCTACTGGCCCTGGCTGGCCACTTTTCTTCCCGTTTTACCAATGCAAATGGTAGGGGGCACATTCTACAAGAGAAATAAGAGAAATGGTGTCTTTTTTAGGAGATCCTAAAATGGGCAGTATGGCCATGTGTGTGTCATTGGATATTTAGTTCTATACTGCAATAGGGCTCATGGACTGAGTCAGTTACATAAGTGATGTCACACCCCCCTAAAATCTGGACTGTGGTAGAAGATCCAGTCTTTTGCCATGGCGGAGTTATCTACTGTCTAGGGAGTGCAGGCTTAAAGCCCACGTGTGACCAAAATTGAATCCCAGAAGAGACAGGAAGAGCAGCACCTGAAGCATTTGCAGAGGATACAGTGGGGCTCTATTGCAACAGAAAGTGCCTGACATGGACGTCAGATGTGGACAGTTAAGCGAACTCTACCCAAGAAGGATTTGTTTATTACTGTAGATAGTCAGGTAAAAGTCTGAGAGTCTGTAGAAAAGCTCCAGATGAAGGGCTGCTCTGTAAAATGGAGAGGTTGTGGTTGGTGATCTGGGGAACAGAGAGTGCAAGTGGAATGCAGTTCTATGTGTGGGAACTCCTTGTGGGTTTGGTGTTCAAGGACTCTTTTTTTTATTCAGGTGAGGGCTCCCTTCATGCCGTGTGAAAAGTACTGTATAACCTCAATGAAGACTGCATTTTGATGATGTTGGTTTGATAGTCAGTCTTATATCTGTATAAATGACAAAACGGCTGAGGAACTGTGTAAAAGGAAGAGTTTGTAGAAGGTTTGGGATTAAAAGAGCTGTAAAGAAGATGCTGTATGTATGTATACGTTTTCAGTTCCATTGCATTAATAGAGAAGAAGGAGTGGTTAATTCATATTAACAGTGAATTTAAGAAATATACACACATGTAATTTCACTCTTTTAATTTGCCATCATGCATGCTCAGATGACCCGAAAACCTTTATTAAAGCTGATAATTTACCAGTTGTATTTAATTAATTTCATTCTCCTGGTGCAGTCTTTTTTGCGATTACAATGTTCAAAACTTGAAACCTAGTGAAATTGTTTTACTTGGCTTGTACGTGCTTATAATGTCGTGAATCTGCAACTCTTTTAGTTGTTATAATCTCATCTTGTGTGTCTCTTATTCAACTGTCCTCCTTGGCTGTGTCATCAGGAATTTGACAGCTGGAATTTTAAGGAGGCCTATACCATTATCCAAATCACTTACATGTGATTGGAAAATCCCAGCTTCAATCCCATTGACACTAATGTGTTCCTTGTAACAACTAACAAAACAAATTAACTTGCCAATATATCTTCAGTCATTGTATAAAATATGTTAATTTGCACTTTTGCTCATTTGTATACTTATTATTACTTTTCAGATCAGATTTTGTTTTTTACAAATGATTGTTTACAACAGAGCAATTAAAGTACTCTCAGTATATACACTATTGCTGTGCATTGTCCTGGATTGAGGAAATCCTGGATTGAGGATTGGATGTGAGGAAAAAAGCTAAGATCTAGCAGAAGAGTCATATAGTACCAACTATTTGTAGTTAGGAAGAGAAAGCAATTGTCCAAATCATGGCCATGCTTGTCTAATTAAATGCCTGTGTAGATGTCAACATCCACTTGTGTGATCATGGGAAAATTTGCAATAATAGAATAGTTTAAATTAGTAGTTTATTGGCCATTACATGCTTTTATCCTTTTTTGTTCTTATTGTTGTTGTAACTGGAATCCCTTTAAAAGAAATATGACATTCTGCCTGGTTTAGATGTCACCGGCTTTTCAATGGGCATTGCAAACAATTAAACGTTTTCAAAACCTCCCCAGGAAACAGTATATATACAGTAATGTATTAAGAAAAGTAAGAAAAAGTGTCTTCTACCTGTAAGTCCTTATAGCTGGTGTGCAGCAGAGAATCATAGATGGGCTGTTGAAAAGAAGCTCTTATTCTCTGCCCCCAAAGAGCAGTCCATACCGCTTTTATTTAATATTCCTGTGCGATGAGGAAGTTACTCAATGCATTGCCCATTCAGCAAAAGATGGTTTCAAAGGAAACACAGGAGACGTCTGGCATCGTGAACAGAAGAAGTGGGGATTTTCTCACAGACTGAGGCAGATGAATTTAATTATGCATGCACTGGATGGAGGACAGCCACATTGTTTTATCAGAATCAACCAGCTAACTTCCATCTCCCAGTCTAGAACATTTTATGTTTGCCAAAGGGAGTTATACTATTAAAGTGTGTTATTGCCACTCTGCAAGACACTTTCATCTGGACCAGAAGGGAGGATGCAGCATTTAATTACTGGAGCTGTCTTGTTTGCATAGTTGTTTCATTGAACACAAGTGGATCCAAGAATTTTGTTGGATTTTTCCCAACATCTCAAGGCGGTAGGGAAAGAACAATAAAAGCTGTTTGTTCAAAGACTGGGTATATCTATATGAGAATAATTTGTCCATAAGCAAATATTTGCTCAGAAAATAAATGTTAAGTAAGGGTTTTCCAATATAAACAAAATTTTAATTATAATAAATTTTGAAAATTATACACTTTAATGACATTTATTTGAGCAATTTATAGTAATGCAGGAATATTTAAAATAGCCCCGTTTTGTAACCTTGAAGCCATTCCAAACTCTGTGTTCAAAAAATGAATTTTAAGTTTTAAAGTTAAGTCTTTTGTTTAAATATTGGGATTTAAGATGCATTTATTAATCTTTCCCAGGGAGATAAAAATAGTGATTCTGTGTCCCTGGTGATTTTGATGTGGGATTTTTTATAGTCCTTTCAAAGGAGTTTGGAGAAGTGCCTAAGTAGTCTTGGGAAATTTTGTACGTCCAATTTTTTTTACTAAAGATCTGTCCAAACATTTTTCTCTAATTCGGCATCAGTATTCACTAGTCTACAAATCCTTTAATTAGCATTGTCATTTCTTTTCCGTTTGAAAATTAAATCAGACAATGCTTTGTTAGGTGGTTTCTAAATCACTTTTTAAAAAATTATTTGAGTAATATACTACGGAACCACTGCCATATTCAATAAACAATGATGGAAGAATTTGTAGGTTTATTATTGAGCATTATGGGGGGGTTTATGTGTATGTGTGTTAAATGTTGAGAAAGCCTTTAAAGAAAGACAGACTTCTAATCACACTTTCTGTGTAAGTACTGTATGTGAATTGAGCTCTTTGTGAATGGAGTTTTGGAGGTTCCTCAGTAGAGCAAATTTGTTTGTCACAGATTTTTAATTACACTGTACTTTACTGCCTTGCGCATGGCTACCCTGATTGCTGTTGGTGAAGAGTTATCCTGTGCAGTTGATTCACAGTGGCAGACATGATATTGTTGACTAATGCACGCCAGACCAGAGACCCTGGACATTGACATACTTGCCCTCAGCATCACTTCTTGACATCTTCCATTTTGTCTTGTAGCAGTTATGTCATTTTGCTTCATCCATCATTGGTAAACATTTTCCCTGGTTTTTATGACCCCAAACAGCGTAAAGTAACACACTAACATTGCCACAATCACATCCTAACGTGCAAGTGATCGAGGTGGGTTTTTTATGTTTTGCCAATTGTCTGGCAGTTAAGTGAATATAATGATTTTTACATTTTGAATTGATAATTTACTTCTGGGGAAATATTGGAAACATTAGACAAAGTAAAAAAAAGATACAGAACACGTCAAGCTCTCTGACCGTTTCTTCAGTGATTTCATTATTTAGTAATCACCATTGGAACCCAGCAAGGCTGGACCTGGTCTGTACTGGAGTGGAAAGTTTGAAGGAAAACCAGGCTGCTGCTACAAGTGGTGCTGGTAGACCAGTAGGTGGCATGCTTCCCCTGGGACCCAAAGTTCCTAAACCAGTTCACCAGTGTGCTGAATGGCCTGCCTATGATATAGGAGGTGCCATTCTCTAGATACTGTATGAAGGTAAACCAAGATTCTGCCTACTTGGTTACCAAAGAGCCCACAGTATTGTTGGAAAGAGTAAGGGTGTAACCCCAGTTTCCTGGCTAAAATCTGTTCCTGTCTTAATTCAATAGGAGAAGTTCTAGTCTATTGCCTCGGTGTGGCTGCTGTCAGAAACTGGCCGCCCCATTTCAGGATGAAAGTGGATGAAGTGGGTCCCCTATACATGTTAAATGCTTTAGGATGATGTGACATAAATTGCTGTTGCTGCTGTTGTTGTGAGACATGCAAGAAGTGATTCTAAATGAGAATCTAAAAGGAATTTCACTTCGGTATTAACTGATATTCCTCTCAAGTTTCTCTAGCCAGAACTAATTCATACAGTATTTATTTAGAGTGCTGGAGATTTCCAGTAAAAAGTGGATCATACTGATAAGAGGGAAAGGGGGGAATGATGTAAAGTGTGTGGTCAGATTGGAGGAGCTAAATCAAGATGAGAAATATCCACAGCATGCAAGTATACAGGAACAATAATGATGACTAACAGGATATGGAGGTGGATGCTGAGAATGTTTTCGGGAAAAGTGCTCTCAATAATTGGATAAAAGTTTGGGTGATTCAGTGAGATGTGACTAAGAGTACAAATTGTTTCCTTTACTTCAGTCCCAAAGAAACTGCTGGAGGACATTGATTCCAAGCGAACAGTCTCTCACAACCCCAGCTTTCCAGAGCATCCCAGATTACACGACCCCAACATTATAGGAGACGGTGTTCTTCCTGATGGGCCAACATTTGTAACAACTGGTTCCCTGCCAGGTAATTTAATTCTTTATTCCTATTCACGCTTCCTGTTATGTAAATTATAACATCAGCATTTGAGCTTAAAGGAAAAATACATTTAAGCTGACATATTAACAGTACATATATTTGTATTTCAGCAAATGTCAGCTTTGCTGTTGTGATTTACATCAATATTTAGATCAATCTCAGTATATAGAAATCTACCAATATGATGTTTCACCCATGGCCTTAATTGAGAAAACTGTGTGTCCGTTCATAGTTCTGGAAATGCAATGGTACAGTAGGTAGTGTAGAAGTGTGTGATAAATAGCAACAGAAATCTGATTGTGTATCAAAAGTGTTCTTTACTTAAATATTTTTAGGTATTTTTAAAACTAGGTGTCTGTAAAATTTTCTCCTTCGCTTAGAAGAACTTGGTACTGTACGTCCCTCTCATTCACAGGAGAAGTGAGCATATTTGGAAAGATAAAATGAGACAAAGATAATCAAAAGTTTGAAGTGTATAATGCAGAAATCATTATACTGCCATAGTGGAGAAAAGAAGTATATAAGCACACTTTGCTTAATCCAGCTTGAACCAATTAAGTGAAATAAAACAGAAACAAAAATATGCATAAATATGGAGAAAAGGAAAACTTCACATGACTGATAAATGTTATTTTTAACTGCAAAAACAGGAAAATAGTAATCACACAAGACAAAAATCCAACAAAAATATACCAGCAAATGTTTTGTAAATATGTTGAAAATAATTTAGTAAAAAGTGGGAAAAAAAAAACTAAAATGCTTCCAAGATTTGAAACCAGGACACAAAGGAGAAAACTTGTGAAATAAAATGGCACTTGACCAAAAGATTAATTAAAGGGGCTTAAACAATTGGAGTTCAAGAAACAGGAATTACAGTGAAAAGAAAATGTGAAAATATGTCTTTGAACCTCTCAAGGCAGTTTGAAAAACAAAACTAAGAGATCATGTTTTCAAAAATAGACAAGTGCCCAAGCAAGTGTTTATTTAAAATAATGTAGCTCTTTTCTGAAAGAGCTTCACAGAAAGCACAACCATTCTTAAGTGCCACATATAATTAAAGCCATACATGCAACAGGAGTCCCTGCTTGGTATTGTGTTCTGGAAAAACAGGTTTCTAGTTAGTTCTTCATGTGTACCAGTATCAAAAGGAAGGAGAAAAGTCTGAGCTGTTTTACAGCAGATACTGTGTTGCATTTAATTTTACTGCTAGCAACTCGTGAAAGGCACACAGGGCAACGGTGCTGTAAGTAGTTTAATATACTGAAAATTGTCATTTATTTTTCTTTAACTGACAATAATCATACTAAAGGCTTAACTTCTAACTGCCAAAATTCTGCAATTTCCCTCACGGGATTAATAAAGTATCTATCTAAAAGTAGTCTGTGCCATCTTTACTGTCAGTGGAGTTTGGGCTGAGTTTGGTGTTGGATTGGGATACATACTGTAACAGAAAAGATAATAAGGGCCTAATTATGTGCGTCTTTTAAAATAGTAATAGCTATTTAAAATTTAAAAGTACTAATAATTGCAGTGTTTGAGCCTGAGGGGTACTTTTTACAAGTAACTCTTTCATTGTGTTTCAATAGTATTTGCGACACAAACATCCTGTGAGGTCTGACAGTGGGCGATTGCCACCCCTCACGCTGAGATTCAGTTCTTTTACAGATTATGTTTCTGAATTAAAACCAAGGCAGCGCTGTTTGTATTCAAAATAACCACCTCCCTTCTCCCACCTCTTTCTAAATCTAAACCGCAGTTAGGGTTTTACTCAAATTCCATTTGCAGCGCCATGTACAGTATAAGATGACAGGGAAACATAACCATGTCTTGGCACTGAATTTGTGAACATTAAGAATGAGAAGGAAAAAGTTAAAGATTTCACATAAAGATTGAAATGTACTTGTTTCCCTGACTCTGGGGTCAGGAAATTGCCCAAGCACTACACAGATGTATGCTCTTGTTATTTTCTGACACAATTCTGATTATACGGTGATACAGTAATTCAGGGTCAACACATTTATTAACAATAACTAATACAATTTTACAATATACACAATGGTTATAATAAAGCTATTTACAATTGGTGAATTCCACAGTCCTAATTCCTATAGGCTTGTGTAACCCACAATTCTGCCCGCGTAATCCAAATCCATAACAATAGCACCTGTGTGTTAATGAAAATGGATTCTATTCAGGAGTGAGTCTTTCTAACTAAAAAACAAATGCTCTTAAGTGAATTGGAACTAATTCAAATATTCTAACAGTGCACCACTTACTGTACATAGAAGAGAATGTTTTTAGACTGAGGATTCCAGAATAGATGAAATCAAAATTTTCTCAAATTAATAAGACCGTAACCTCTCTTATAATAATGCTTAGGCTTCCTAGCCAGAATCTGGTTCCCATTCTGGTTAGAAAATGGAGCTCACCCACCATTCTGCTTCCTCCTTTTCATGTCTTATTCTTGTCTGTGCTCCTTCCCTGTATTTATGCCGTGGTCCATTCCTATGAAGGCTGGCTAACTACATCCCTAGGAATGGCTGCTTACTTCTTATTCTTTAATATGGCAGTCCTAATGATTTACTGTGTAGTTAAATAACCAGAATATATGTTTAGGAACACTCTTTGATCCTTTGGTGTTACCCAGTGTTTACTTCCCTTTTGCCTTCAGACAATACCTCCTTACAATACTCCTCCTATAGGCAATACCTCCTTACAATATCCTTTTATTCAAGGCCTTTTAAGTGGTTCATTGTAACTGGGAAATGCAAACATAGCTAAATTTTCCATTTCCGTACACAATAGCCATATTTTCCAATTCCATCATTCTCTTTATTATAATTCATCACAATTCATACCAATTTCTGAACATTTAATGCATATTTGGAAAATGCCTAGAATGACAATACAATTGTTCTTTTTCATTGCAATGTGAGTGTAAATATTTTGTTTTGTATTTTAATATTATGGATGTGTATTCCAAGCTACAATTTACTGGGGGTAATGTGCTATAAATATCCACATGTAGTGTTCTTATAATGAAATGGAAGCAGACTAAAGGCTGATGTAATGCAAGTTAAATGTAGTAGTGCTTCCAGCTTTGGGATCTCAACATGTAATTCTCATCTGTGTGTCCTACAGAACAGAAGAAGAAGAGAGGAAGGGAGTCTGAAACTTATTCCAGGGAAGAAAAGCCCTTTTTGGATGCTGTAGATGGAGATGACCGGCAGGTCTTGAACCACACAATGGAGTCCAGGTCAATCAACACAGAAATGACGCTCATCACCAATGTGCTGGCAGCCTACACTTACATATCAGGTAAAGAACTGGGCACGACCTTTCTATATTAAGAAACATGGCTGCCACTAGCTAAACTAATGTTAATATTTATGTATTTGCATATGGCATAACATGTACTGTATATGTGGTAGAACATTGTACAATCTGCAATACAGGAGAATTACACTCCACCACTGAATAAATCTGATTTTGTCGTCTAAGACCATTGGCCTTTACCTCTGGTCAAATCATAAAGTAGCTTGGAATTTCATTTTAAGTGCAGACAGCATTATGATTACTATGGGACCAAATGGGCTTCAGTTTCACTGCAGTGCTAATGTGTACTTATTTCCGGTTTCTGCACTTTAAAGGCATCATCTGATATTCAACAGAATGTTGACACTAAACTGTTATAAGACTGAGTGAGGTTATTCTCATAGGCTCCGAACATCAACTCTACAAAGTGTATCACTTCAATGGTGTTGATGGTTTTGAAATCAAATTTTTCATGGAAGTTAGAAACCTTTGTTTTACTGTTGATTCTGTGTTATGGTTTGAAGCACATTTGAACATCACAGTGACATTGGTCTTTCACCTGCATAACAGTGCAGGGTTAAGACAATCTTATCTTTTCATCATATATTTCATCAAGGTTAGATTACTGTAACACCTTTCTTATAGGGTTGTATACTGAGATACTAGATAGGCTTCAGTATGCCCAGATTCATGCAGTGCACGTGGTAACTAACAATACTTTGTACTAACACATCCTTTGTCATTTGTGCTGACTCCCAGTGATATTTTAGCGTGAACTTGAAAGTTCTTGTGTTCATAAGAAATATTGCATGATTATAGTCCATCTTTTAATCTGGATCTTTGGCAAACTAAGAAGACCCGAATCAGCAGATCAGGTTCCATACAATGGTCATATGTAACCCAACATCTTTGGAACTTATTGTCCATATCCATTAGAGACTGCAGTTGTCAATATTTAAAAACAAATATATGCTTAAAAACTATTTTTTCATTAGTGCTTTTAATATTAATGTAAAAGTATATAATTTAAGTTCACTAAGTCAGTTTGTTGTGGTTTCCATTTTATTTCCTCTGTTGTGTATGTTATGTGTGCTATTGTACAGATATGAGTGTTTTTGAAGGAGCTGATAAAACTGCATAATAATAACAATGATGGCTGGATATGGCTAGTTAATTCCTGGTATACATTGAGCTTACTGCACTTTCTCTTTACAGAAAACCCTGAGCGTGCAGCCTTGTACTTCGTGTCTGGAGTGTGTCTCGGTCTCATCCTCACGCTGTGTGCACTCGTGGTGCAGATTTCCTGCCGGACGGACTGTAAAACTACCGTTCCCCAGAAGCGCCAGAAGAAAGTGGAGAGTGACAGTGACAGCAGTGACAGTGACAGTGACTGGGACACCACCTCTGACCTGTCTGCTCGGCGGCATCGCCGCTTCGAGAGGACTTTAAATATGAACGTCTTCACCTCTGCAGAGGAGCTGGAGCGAGCCCAGAGGCTGGAGGAGAGAGAACGGATAATCAGGGAGATCTGGATGAATGGGCAGCCAGATATCCCAGGCACACGCAGCCTGAACCGCTATTACTAGTGATGGGAGGAGCCCCGTGTGTGAAAATGACCTGTTAGATTGTGCTTGGAAATAATAACAATTTGCCAGACCTTGAGGGCATTAAAATGGAGGAGGTCTTCTGCTTTGTGCAGTGAGAATAAGCTATTCATTTAGCATATAAATGTGACTGAAAACAGGACTTTTGGAAACGTAGCACTGTTTCTACAAAGCTTTATATCCATATGAACTAAGGGTGACTTAGAAGCACTGACCATTTTTTTTTGTTAATAAACTGTATGTATATAGAATTCTACCATGATCACTGGACACAATATGGATTGAAGTCAACAACAAAACGGAAATGGTGTGTTCTTGGACGATGTGGGCAAATATAGAGTTAGATTTCTCTAAGAATGAAAGCAGGAACTCTTGGCTTATAATGGTTTGAAACCATTCTGGTAACATAATGTAAAGTGGAAATTTAATGGAGATGGGATACAAAAGACTTTTGAATCCTCTCTTTCTAATAGAAATTGGACTACAAAATTGTGGAATATTTATCAAAGGAACAACTGCATTTCTGATGGTGAAATTTTGAACCAAAAATGTTTTGAATTCATCTCAACCCTTGTGAAATTGTTTATTTTAATATTTAACTTTTGGAGGTTTTTGTGCTATGAAATATTTTTTTTAAATGCAAAGCTTTGACTGGCACCTCAGGGATGAAATCCTAGTATTTGTATAATTTGTATTTTTCCTAAGAATATTACCACATTTCTTGAGATGTCTCAGCATTTTGTAAACAGTTACAAACCTCAAAGAGGTTGACTAATTATGTTGTTTTTGAGAAACTGCACAATGTTGTGCCTTAACCTACTAGTTAGACTGTAGATTAATGAAGTAATGTTTTAGAAATAGTGATACTCTTCTAAGGTTTTCCTGATTATGATGTGAGGGGAGCATGCATAGATAATGAAAGCAAAGCAGTACTTTATTTAAAAATAGCTCTGAAAAACAAGAAACAACGTTTTGTATTTCAGATGGTTTGGTCCCAGGTTTCACTAATTGTCTAATGGGCCAAAAAACACAACAGTAACTCCACATTCTCATACCGGTCAATCTGGTAGTCAACCTCCTTTGGAGCTCAAGATTGTAGCCCAGCTGTGGTCAGTTAAGCACAGGACTGTAGTTATCCCTGCTGTATAAGGGATATCGTACCATCGGTGTGAGGAAAATAATCCAAAACGCCACAAATGCAAAACAAAAACCTGAACTCCTCCTTGGCTGGACAGCTAAGCTGAAAAGCAGCTCAATAGAAACACTTCAAACTCAGAACCCACGAGTACCAGAGCTATCACAGGCCTATTGTCTCATGGTCAGTCAAGGAAAGATCTCCCTCCTGCGCAGGGATCCTAGCTAAGAATCGTCTCTTGTCCTTGGATAGCAGATATTGACTGACATCTGTAAGACTTGGCTTCTTGTTTCTTAAAATGTCACCAGACCAATTGTTTTCTTCCAATTGGTTAAGTGAGTAAAGACAAAAAATAAAGCTAACGGAGAAATCAAGAAAGGTTATTAATGCAACATGTTTTTGGAGCTGTTGCCAGTCTTTAAGGCCAATAAGGAAAGGCTTGTATCATTTTAGGTAACATTTGTCATGAAATTGTATTTACTTAAACACCTGATGTGAATGCCCAATATTTTGCTGGGTGCTGTTGTTATGTGTATCCGGCAAAAATAGAAAAGTGTTGTTATCCATATTTGACTAAGTTGTTCACTATTTCATCTAGTTTCAACAAATATTCGGCTAGGGTGTGCAATATTCGTGAAAGTCAATTTTAGGTTTCATTTTCTCTCATGCTTAAGTGTATTTGGTTTAGATATTTTTTCTGTAATGTTTCGGATTGTCGCTCTAGCCCACCATCAGCTCATTCGATGGAAAATCCATCCATCTGACCCCAAACTGGAGCAACAATTTGGAAACTTCTAGAAGAACAGCTCTTCAAGCCAGCATAGAACACAAGAACAAACAGAAAGATAATCAGGCAGATTTCTTTCAATAACTACGGGCTTTTTTAATCATTGAAGCAATCCTCTGTGTTTGTTGTTAGAGTATATTATGCATGTTGACATGAAATAATAAGTTTCCTTCTGTTATGGTACAACTTTTCATACAATTTTTAACAGCAATTTATTATAAATGTGTCTGCTTTGCTTTCTTTTTATCTAAATATTTAATGACTCTAAGAAAGTGTACAAAGAATATTGTAGTACAGTAGTACTATAATGGCTTTAATTCACCTTTCTGGATGTTATATCACAATTAGTTACAAAATATTGACCCATGGTAGTCACATGCTTATGCTGTGTTTTATAACATTTGACTACAAAGGCTAGATAAAGTATAAAATGTCACTTGTACAACACTATCAAGGTTACACATAATTGATTTGAAAAAATGCTTGTATTTAAATGGAGTGGAATGTATGATATACCAAAGACTGGGTTAATCAGACCAAAAATGAGACTTGTGTTTGAAATAAATGTTTTTTTAAAAGGAATGTACTACTTCAATAATTGAAAATTCCAAAGCACTAGACGGTTATTTGCAGTGTTTCATTGTATGTTTTTTTTTTATTTCGATGTACATATTGAAGGCAATGCAAAAGGCAATAATTAAGTAACCCAGAACACTTCAGAGTACCAAAATACTCTCCCTTCTGATCTCCCTCAAGAGTATGAATATACCAAGGATGAGAGTGGATTCAAACTAACATGAGAAAACAAGAAAGGTAACAAAATAGAGGAGGCCACTTCTGGACAGTCCACTCAAAGCGCTTTACATGTAATGGGGACTCTCCTCCACCACCACCTATGTGCAGCATCCACCTGGATGATGCGACGGCAGCCATAGTGCGCCAGAACGCTCACCACACACCAGCTATCAGTGGGGAGGAGAGCAGAGTAATGAAACCAATTCATAGAGGGGGATTATTTGGAGGCCTTGATTGGTAAGGGCCAATGGGAAATTTGGGCAGGATGCCGGGGTACATCCCTACTCTTTTCGAGAAACACCCTGGGATTTTTAATGACCAGGGGGTCATTTATTCGCTTTTGAAGTTACTTTGTGCTGTATTTCAAATAGAATCTCTTTAAAGTGTTGGCATCCACTTTCTACTGATTTATCTATCCTTTCCCATTCTAATTCTCTTAAATCCCTGTTTCTTTCCTTCAAAGTCTCTTGACTGCTTATTCTCACAGCAGTTTCTGCTGCTGATATTCATAAAGGCCTTTCCCAGTCTGTTTGGGAAGTTAATGTCCCCCATTAAACTACTTGTTCTTTCACATTTCATAATGCACTTATAATCACAACTTGCATTTGGTCATCTATAGCATACCCTAAATCTATACTTTTGGAATGCTTCTAATCAGTCGTACCCAAATAGATTCAGAGATTCTTGATTCTTCTGGCTTGCTTCCTTAAACTGAAAACTCTTTTTGGTTAGCAGTATAGCGTTACACTTCCCCCGCCTCGTCTTTCCTGTCTCTCTGGAACATAGTTTATGTTACATTCCTCTCCATCAGTTTATCCAGGATTCTGTGATTCTAGTGACATCACAATTTCCTGCTAATGTGGTAGCGTCTATATCATCTCATTTGTTTCTGTCCCAGCCCCATTAAAGAATGTACACTCCAGACTAAACTGTTTTAAAAAGTGGCAAGGGTGCTTGAACCTTGTGCAGTTCACTTGTGTAGTAAAAGCAAACAGTGAATGCATCTAAATACACTCCCACTTTTCCCGGTGTAAAGCTGTGGGTGTTGTGCATCATAAACAGATAGTTTCATTACTGTTCAGGCAATTAAACTCCCACGGCACATCTCTGCCTTTTGTAGATTTTAATTAATAGGTAGTTAATAACTGACACATTCTTATTGGTTTACCTCTCTCATCTCTAAACCTGTTTTTTAAAATGAATTTTGTGATGAAATACTGTTTTGTTTTTCGCTTTATTCATTACATAAAGAACGGAATCATTAACACATGCACTATTGTCCTATTGTTTATGTCATGTATTATTTGTTGTGATGGTCTTTGAATGTTTTACAGTATGTGTGGCTCCACATTTGTCTTCTGTTATTTCTGTTTATCTTCACTGTGGCCCTCTATTTTGAAAACGGTTATACCCTAAGTGACCCCTACATGAAAACCTGCCTGCCTGTCAAGAGTGAAACTGGGCCGAGTTTAGAGTATCTAAACATGGCCCTTGTGAGCTGATCAGTCACTATGGTGGAGAACTACTGTACTTGTTGGAAGGAAGTAGCTTTGTCTGTGAGCTGTTCCTAATCTGGTGCAGTAGAGTCTTGCTTTGGGTCGATGCCCGACTTTTTCATGGAATATGTTTATTTTTATGACCTCTTGAGTAAAAATGGGGCATTTAAATATGTTAATTGTGATATACAGATACCGTATGTACAATCCCATTCTCAAATATTACCAAGAATCAATTTTGAATAGAATCAGCTATGATATATTTTAAAAATAAATGGCATAAAATCCTGTTAGCTTCCATCAGGGCTTCATAAAAAAAATAAATTCACTCGCAGCATTATTTAATTTCTGCATGATGCGTAGAGTGATATCTGAGCATCCAATGATGAAAAGAATGACAGGAAGTGAGAGAACACGGAAAGTGAGCATCAGGGCATTATGTGCACACAAAAAGACCAATCTTAGCAACAATGTGATAGACCATTCAAATACAGTATTACTGACATTGGTTTATATTACTGAGAAATGGGGTGAAGATGAATATATACTGTACATATGCAGTTATGTGCTAGTTATGAGGGTCTGAAAATATGCACAGTGCCTTGTGAAAGTATTCGCCCCCTTCCAATGATATTTCATTGTGTTTAATTATAAATGATGTACAATATAAAAATCTGAAGTGACCTTTTTGCCAGCAGCCATATCACCCTGCAACTCACAACTGGCAACCCACTGAAGCTAAGCAGGTGTGAGCCTGGTCAGTACCTGGATGGGAGACCTCCTGGGAAAAACTAAGGTTGCTGCTGGAAGAGGTATTAGTGGGGCCAGTGTGGGGCGCTCACCCTGTGGTCCATGTGGGTCCTAATGCCCCAGTATAGTGATGGGGACACTATACTGTAAACAGGTGCCGTCCTTCGGATGAGACATAAAACCGAGGTCCTGACTCTCTGTGGTCATTAAAAATCCCAGGGCATTTCTCGAAAAGAGTAGGGGTGTAACCCTGGCGTCCTGGCCAAATTTCCCATTGGCCCTTACCCTAATAATCCCCATCTATGAATTGGCTTCATTACTCTCTGCTCTCCTCCCCACTAATAGCTGATGTGTGGTGAGCGTTCTGGTGCACTATGGCTGCCGTCGCATCATCCAGGTGGATGCTGCACATTGGTGGTGGTGGAGGGGAGACCCCATTACCTGTAAAGTGCTTTGAGTGGAGTGTCCAGAAAAGCACTTTATAAGTGTAAGCAATTATTATTATTAATTATAGGTGAATGAAATTAAATGTCAGCAAAACTGCAAAGAAAATCCAAAACTGAAATATGTTTGTACTGTACACCCCCTTTGTTATGGCAAACCTCAATTAGTTCAGGTGCACAAAAATACTTTGACACTTTGACAGCTCACTTTGACAACTCACACAATTGGTTGTACTGTATATGTATAGAATTGTATTTATTTTCCCCTAATCGTGGAAGGCACCCAGTGTAAAATGCAAGCCTCATCTCAGTACAGAAAGTGAGAAACTTCCCAACAAGGGGAAATATGGATTTCAGCAGTTCTGGAGGGATCTGGAGAGGAAGAACCAGAAAAGCTCAGGGTGGAGACTGGATGTCTGCTTCTGGAGGTTCAAGACTGGGGTTAGCATGGCTCTGTGCTGATGACAAACTGTATACTTTGGTTGTGAGGAAAGGAGGGCTTTCGTTATTTAACAAGTTGAGGGTGGGTGAACAGATATAAAGCCATGTTGTACGTGCAGATGTGTCTTTGCCAATTTACACAGTGAGCTCCAATCATCATCAAATGTTGTTACCAAACCTTTGGAAACAGGTGGTGAACAATATCCTGTATTTCTGCACATCAGGCTAACATTCTACGTGATCTGACATTGGTTTATATTACTGAGAAATGGGGTGAAGATGAGGTCTAGTTCTTCCCCAAAGACCCTATTGTGAGAATCCATGTCCTTCATGCTTCCCTCGGTCAGTCCTGGTTCAGGGTCAGGTTGCTTACAGGATTTCCCTTAGATCAGGTGGTCCAAAACATAACTGCTTCTTCTTCTTTCTAGGCAGTACCTCCTTCCTGGTCCAGGGTCCTGCCTCTCCTTCTCCAGTTACACTTCCCTCTGTCAGCGTTGCTTTGGAGTATATTGTTCTTGTTTTTTCTTGCAACATCACCAAATCCCTTCCCATGCTGTGAGGTGGGTACACCCCGTGACTAATTCCATATAAGTATTCTTCACTTAATATCCTTCTCACTCAAAATGCCACTGTGTTGCCCTAGCATCATACTTATTTTCATGATGCGTTGTCGCCCCCTTCTGGTTCCTTTTGGGAACAGCATGGAGTTAGTATGCCACATACTGTAAGCATACACAAATCATATTACTCCATTTACTGTATGTATATTTTAAAATGTACACAGATGTTTTACATTAATTTATTTCAATTAGCAAATTTCAGTTTGATCTTATGTAATCTATTGCTTATGTCATGTAACAACCATTTTCTTGTGAGATGAGAATGTGATCAGTATGCTATGGATAAACAGACCGGCACCCCTTAATGATTGAACTGGTATTGATACAGAATCAAGGGCATTAGAAAACCAGTGAATAAGCACATTAATAAGTGAATAAGTCCAGGTTCTATAAGAGGAATGGGACAGAATCCCAACTGCTAACATCTGAAATATAGTGCATGTCTCACAGGCTTACAGCTTGTATTGTTTCCAGCAGTAGAAACACACACTACTTGCTTGTGACATTCACAGTAGACTCCCTGTCAATCAGCTCTGTTGATGACAAATCTTAATGAGCATAACACTTTTACCACTCTCATGTCTGTCCATTAAAATGTTAGTGTACTTGCTATTAAAAAGATTGTCAGGAGATTCATTGACAGTACTTATTATATTTCTACATGATACTCCTTTTGATGCCATGTAGATAACGAACTTCAGTTTGCATCCTGGTGATATACAATATGTTATCATGCAAACAGTTTCTTGTGATACAAAACAAAATTCCCAGAAAGACAAATCAATGTATTTTTTCAAGTAGTTAGCTGCATCAGTATCCATACGCTTCATGCACTTCAGGACTTGAACAAGGCTCCACAGCCGAAACGTTGTGTTTATTTTCTTCTCTTTTCTGGATGGAATAAACTTTTACTTGTTCATTTGCATTTTATTTTTCACCTTTTTTTTCAGATTTTCTGCTGTTTTAGTTTCTGAAATGGGACCAAGAAATTGAATGCACTTTCCCAAGCCCCCAAGATAAGATTTATTTTAGATCAATAGGCTACCAACCATCCAATAAGCAATATGAACTGAACATGTTCCCTTTTCTTGCCAACTCTTTGCTGAAAATAGATCAATGGCCTTATGATTCGTCTGCCTCTAGCAATGGAAACAAACACATACACGTATACTGTATTTTTTTTTACTGCAGGCAATAGAAAAAAACATTGTTTAATCATTTTCTTATTTGTCAGAATGATGTTTTTTTCACTTCCCAACTCAGAGCTGCAAAATTTTCAACTGCACATGGAGGAGAATGAGGACGTGTACTGTCCAGTTTTTATCTTTTAACAAGAGACTAGTAATGAAGCCTCATACAGGAGATTCGAATGGAAGAAGTGCAACCCTCACGCAGCACACCACAAGCCTGCGAGTGCCCAGGAACTTTCAGGGGTCACTGAGCCACCAGGAGCTAAGAGAGTCCTAGATAAACAATCCCAACCCTTTCCTCAACAGCACTGAGCCAGCTGTGCACAGCTGTTTAGGGAATCCTGGTTACAGTCAGTAACTAAGTCTTAACTGATGTGAAGTGCTGTCTCAACAATAAAAGAAGTGGGCATTGACCCCCAGCCTCCTCAGTCAACTTCAGACTAAAAATAGTTATGGAGAAAATGAACATCTATAACATATTGAGAATGGACAGTGAAACACTGACCAGAGGGCACAAGTGGAAACATAGAAGTGCATTTAAAACTGAGAACAGGTGATGCTTTTTTGTACCCTAGGGCTGTGGGAGTTTGGAACACACAACCCAGCCATGTTGTTGAAGCCGATACCCTGGCATCTTAACAAACAGTTGAATGAGATCCCTGGAGCAGTTATCCTCTAACTACCAGACAGGCTAAATGGAACAAATTGCCAACTTCCGTCTGCAATGTTTCTTATGTTCTTAAGGTGTATTGCTCATATTAAAATTTTTTCAGATCTGCCACAAATGTTTTTGCTACTGAACTAAATATATCCATCTAGCAAACTGAACTTATGCTGCTAGTTTTCCACATCATTTGTGAAAATCTGATTTTCAACGCATGGCTATCAATAATGTGCAAACAGCATTTTGTGCATTTTTACATTACTCACACCTGCTAAATTATATCAGTAGCTACACTCTGTGTCTATTTTATTGTTTATACTCTACAAGACTATGAACTGTGTGTAACATGGTCTTCTCAGTTTTGTCTTCTGCTGTTAGGTACTGAAAAATGACACAAGGAGTTCTAAGTCTCCTTCTGTTTCCCATTCTCACCTTGAAACCTATTCTAAATTGTTAAACATTGTCTATTACATAGTGTAGTTTGTCTGATTCTTAAAATTTCATGTTTTTCTATTTGTTTTATGGTGCTGAACAGCAATAATTCATTTATTTCACAATTTTTAAACATTATAGCTTATTGTGGTTATGGATTTTTAAACTTTGCTCAATGTGGGATGATGTACAGTATCATTGGATATTCTGACAAAATATATATACCCATCAATTTTCTAACCACTTATTCCAGTCCAGGGTCATGGGGGAGTCAGTGTACACCCTGAATGGGACGCCACTAAATATACTGTGTATCATTGTGATTTTACTTGAATTAATAATGATAATAACTTATATTTATATAATAATTTTCATCTTAAACAATATGTGTAAACAGCCACATCATAGACCAGATCTGGTAAAGACATCTAAAATTGCTTCACCAAATAAATTAAGGGTGAATATTAGACAGAGTGGACAGAGTTCAGGCAGGACAATGAAGTGTCTAGACTCTAAAGGGGAGATTGCCATCTACTGATACACCAGCCCTGCTTACAATATCAGCCTGTTTTTTCTTAGAGATCTCTCTCCCATTACTGACCAGTCCCAGCCCTTCTTAGCTTCTGAGGTCAGGCTTGAAGGTGGTTGATACTTTAGATTTACTTAATACATACGTCTACTTAAATAGGTTTAAAAATAAAATACATCATCTTCTAACTGCTTTATCCACCACAGGGTGGTCGCAGGGGAGGTGTAACCTATCCTGAAAAGCAATGAGCAGAAGGTGAGATACACCCAGGAATGGAAGCCAGTCCATCAGATACAGTACACACATTCACACGCAGAGCCAATTTTCCCAGAAGCCTAGTTTGTCTTTAGATGGTGGAAGGGAACTGGAACACTTGGAAGAAACTGCCGGAAACATGGAGGAGCATACAAACTCGGTGCAGATAGCACCCAAGTTATTGAACCTCGGGCTCCAACACTGTGAGGCTGCACTGTTAACCACTGCAACACCATCCCGTCCAAAGTAAAAAAAAAATACTTTTAAATATTTTAACCACATTTCTATTGTGCAGGCTTTTGTAAAGTACTTGTTACCATTTTGCAGCTTGATTAACTTTGATTTATTCATGAACTTAGACTGACAAATACATTATAAAGTACTTTAAGTCACATTATTTTGACAGTCTTATACAGTAAGTGTATGGCATATGTTTCTGAATACTTTATGAACTGAATATTCTTAAATAGTTTGTCCCTTGCTTCTCTAAGAAACAACAGAAAATAAAATGTAAAAACAATAAGGACGTCCCTACACGGCGAAAGCTAAACAACATGATCGACAGGCTTAGTAATGACTCAATTCTGGACTTCAATTACAGATGACAAGTCAACAATATCCTGTTTATATAATAAAAGATAATAAAGTTGCTGTGTTATGTGGATAAGGAAGACAACATCTTATTCTTTAGGGTGACTTTTTGCCTTTGGTCTCGCTTTTCAAATAGTTTATTATTCTGTACTCAGATTGTGGTATTTCTGTTGGTATTTTGATGTTTTTAATTAATACACTATTTAATGGCTGATGCAACTTTTTTAAAACGGATGTTTCGACTGTGTAATACATGTTGGCTGTGTTACTGATTTATGAGCTCTCTCTCTTCCGTCTCTCTTCTTAAGGCATGCCTGCAATGTTTGTATACAGAGTTGTAAGGAGATCCTTTGTTTCTTTGTGTGTGATTGGCTGTAATGGTGAAGGTTATTGGGATAGCCCTCTGGCAGCCATCTTTCAATTGTGTTTGCGACCAAAGCTCTTCAAGTATTGCTTTGCAGGGAGGTTTTTGAAAAAGGTAAGTTTAAGACAAAATAAAATACATAAAATATTTAAACAAAAAACAGTTGTGAAAAATCACAAGCAAGATTGAGGAAAAGTTGCTACAGCATTTTGCGAGGCAACTTTGAAATTTCACTGAAGTTTTTCTCTGGGAAATTATAGGGGGGAAACCGTGTAAAAATATTTTATGAATCCTTGCAGCAACCCAGAGCATATTTTCATATTTGTTCCAAACGTCACATTTTCCAGAAACTTATTTGGTCGGTAAAAGTGATGCTAAAAGGTGATGATCATCTGAAATAGATTGGTTCTTTTGGCATTTTATATTTAATATTTTAAAAATATCCGTCGAATAGCTATCCTTTCCAGCGTTTCAGTGTTTGCTTTTATCTGTTGCAAGCCATTCACCATCTTGTCGTTCTCGCGTTTCAAAACCCCAGTTAAGCATCTGAGCAAAAGAAAAAAGCAGGCACTTACCATTTTGAAAAGAGCACGCTGACTTAGTGTATTGAGGCAGTTGGCGAATTTGTGCGATAACTGTAGGAAACGAAGTATTTCTATTTCTTATATTTTTTTCATAAATTAGCTCTACGTTTTGCTGCATTTTTTCGTTGTAAATGTGAGTTCTCCCACCATTTCCTCATAGTGCCCCAAAGCATACAGAAGTCAGTGCAAAACGGAATCAAATCAATAAAAAAAAATCAATGTTGCAATGAGACCAAATATTTGCTAAGCATGTACATGTTTTATTATAAGAATCCGTATGAGAAAATAAAAGACAAAGCTATGCAACAAAGCAGAATCTCGAGCCGATAAAATAACCACTTAACTGAAGACAGTCTAAGATAACGAAAATTTCAAGCAGTGTAACAGTGGAAAATGTTTTATGTTGAGTAAAACCCTTTTATTTGCGTTGTCATAGAATAATGATCTTTAAATGTGATTATTTGGTGCGGCACTCTAACGTGTTTTTTTCTCATTCGTAAGCCGGCTTTTGGATCGGCTCTGTCCGATCTGTGAACGATCTGCGGGACAGTTTTACGTTGGAGAAAAATCGATATAATTTTCTCATTTTTTGCAAGTAAATTATTGATCCAGGAACTTCAAACCCACCTTTATCAACAGTATAGTTAGTTAATTCAATATAACCCTTTTTTGGGCAATATTCTCCCGTTCTTAGTCCTGAAGGTATTCTAACATGAGTGCAGGATTTCGGGATTTTATCGAGTCTTCATTGCACTGAGATAAAGAGATACAGTAGATATTTGGCCTAAATTCAAGATGAGATTCTGCTTTGGAATTAAAATCTGTTTTCGGCTGTTGTTGTGGTCTAACGCGAATCCTGCAGTTTCAAAGAGGTTACAGGAGTTACACAACGTTTGACTTTAATTGCTTCATTTTGTTTTGATTTAAGCCTTTATTTTTCAAAGAAAGTCTCATTTAATATGTTTACCTTTCTCATTCAAAATGAAGACCTAGATAATTTATTTAGGGGGGCATTTTATGGAAAATGTGAATTAAGTGCATTTGTCATGGTTGGGTACAACAGCAGAATTATACCAGGGATTTGAACCCAAGCCTTTTTGGTCAGGATAGCAAAGTATGGATCACTACTCCACACTGCTGTCTGAATAGCTTTCTGTAGTACTTATCATTGCTGAGGTTTACATATGGGAGGTGCCTCACTTAACCCACAACTGAATTGCAGAACCCACCTCAAGTGATATGTGGCTGCCACTATATTCCAGAAGCACCACTTTTCATCAAATCAGGTAAAGAAGTGAGAAGTTGATTCACCAATTGGATTAATAACATTAGGTAGTGCAGATTGTGCTAACCCATTGTAGAATTTAGCCAAGACACCAGCTGAAACTCCTATGAGCGGGCTCTTTAGAGATCTTCCATCCTCGAACTGACTAGGTCCAGTGTTGCTTAGCTTCTGAGATCTGATAAAATAAGGAAAGAAGGTGGTGACTCTGCAAATACTTTGCTTGTGACAAATAAGTGATTTTGACGTACGTAAATTATTATCTTAATTAGGCCAGCAGCTGTATCCCCCTGCAACTCTCAACTGGCAACCTACTGAATCTAAGCAGGTGTGAGCCTGGTCAGTACCTGGATGGAGGACCTGGGAAAGCTGAGGCTGCTGCTGCTGAGAGAAGTGTTAGTGGGGCCAATAGGGAGCTCTCACCCTGCCGTCTGTGTGAGTCCTGACTCCTCAGTGTAGTGATGGGGACACTATACTGTAAAAAAGGTGCCGTCCTTCAGATGAGATGTAAAATGGTGGTCCGGACTCTCCATAGTCATTAAAAATCCCAGGATGTTTTCTGAAAAGAGTAGGGGTCTTATCCTGTCCTGGGCAAATTTCCCCCTGGCATTTGCCATTAATGGCCTCCTAACAGTCCCCACTTTTAATTGGCTTCATTACTCTGTTCTCCTCCCCACTGAAAGCTGATGTGTGGTGAGCATATTGATGTACTTTGGTTGACTTACATTTCCAAGGTGAATTACCTACAATTCACATTAGTACACAGGTTTTACACTCATTACTCTTCACACAATTCTGTCTTCTGCTATGAATACTCGTGTCCCAACTAGTCATTACCAGAGTGTCCTGCTAGATAACACAGACCTTTTTAATATTTTATATATATATAATATATAATTTTAAGAGATACATGAATCTCTTGAAATACCTGTTATACCTTAACCCAGATAATATAAAGGGCTTGCTTTCCCTTTTAGCCAGTCTTGGGTTTTGTCTCATAATCTTACCCCACTCTCCCAGTAAGTGTAACAGATTTCCATTCTGTTTTCTGGTTTTGAAGGAATGTCATGTGTGGGTACATCAAATCTTTCCACAGATTCCCAGTAGGATTCAAGTCAGGACTTTAACTAGACAACTCAAGGACTTTCAATTCCTGATTTTTCAAGCAGTACAGTACAGCTTTTCATCATTGTCTTGCTGAAAGGTGAATTATCCTAGGTTTAGGTCTGTAGCGAGGTTTTCTCTACAGTTTGCCAGTACTTTGCTTCCTCTATGTTCCCATCACTCTTGACATAACGGTACCATAATGCCTCCACCACCATGTCTGACAGTAGGAATTGTATTAACCGAGTAGTGCAATATGTTGGGTTTGTGTCAAATGTAATGTGTCATTTTTTTTCATCCATAACAGAAATTTCTGATTATGTATTACCTGACAACAAAAAAAACTTTTGCTATGTGTTTGCAGTATCACTTAAATGTTTAAGTGCAAACTTCGGTGGAATTTGTGACGGGTTTCTACTCTACTATAAAGGCCAGACGCATATACATTTTGCCCTTTTCAGCCGGTGAACTCTGCAGCTCTTTCAAAGTCTTCATTGACCTCATCCCTAACCAGTTTTCTCCTTGCTGAACTGCTCAGTGTGAAGAGACAACCTAGTAATGGCTGTGTCTTGATGCCTACTATTCCATGCTGAAAGAGACGTTAAGGGTCTTTAAAACGTGTTTTTTTTACCCTTCTCCTGATGTGTGCCTTTTTAAAACTCTATCCCTGAAAGCTTTTTTGTTTTCAGTTGTTGAATACTTGAAATTCACTGCCTGACAGGGTGACCTTAAAGAGATATGTGTATTAACTCTGGAATCATGTAAACTACAATTATTACACAAAGAGGCCGCCAAGCTAATTGTGTGGCTTGTTGTGGTTTTTGTACACCTAAATCACAGCAAAAGGTTTAAATACTTATTGCAATCAGGACTTTTCTCTTTATTATTTAACTGTTTACTTCTTTTTGCTTTGAGTGTATGGAGTAGGTTGTGTATATAACAAAAAAACTTGCTACTTTTTAGTGTTATGACTGCAGCGTTTAAAGCAACGAAATGTGAAAACGGTGCAGTGGTCTGAGTACTTTTGCTAAGCCGTATAAATCTTTCCTTAATCTGTGTTTTTTTTTTTCAACAGGTGTAAAAGTGTGAAAGAACATGGCCCGTACTAAGCAAACTGCTCGTAAATCCACTGGTGGTAAGGCACCAAGGAAACAGCTCGCAACAAAAGCTGCCCGCAAAAGTGCTCCCTCTACTGGAGGAGTCAAAAAGCCTCATCGTTACAGGTTAATACGGAACACTGACCAGTCCCACTAGTTCATGTGATTGACATAGCATCCTTTGAAATTATAGGCATTAACATGGGATACAGGGAATTAATTAAATGCCTATTAGGTTGGTTAGTTTCTGTTCTGCGGTTCTTAACCTTTGTTAGTGAATGGATATGAAGATAGGGCTTTATGGATCCAATAACATAAGTATTCAACTTCTTTGAGAATTTCTTCTCTTAGAAAACAGAACACATAAATAGTGAAACCATGTCCTAGGCATTGGATAAATATATCTACTCATTCCCGTGGACACAATATTAATGTGTATCAATATTGATTGTTTATACTAGTTAATTTATATATTATTCTCAGGAATAACTTTGGTTGATAAACATTTTGAAGACTTAGAATCATGCATAGCATGGAGTTTTAAACGTTTTACAGTAGAAAAAAGTTTTATAATTAAAGCTTTCTTCTTCATAAGTGATGGGATGCAATTCATGTGCATTTTTGATTTCAGGGTTACTGGATCAGTCTTAATTGAATAGCTAGTTTGGTTTATGCTGTTTTTAAATAACGTACAATAATAAGTGATAGTGATATCCACTGTTTAAACACGGAAATTAAGCAGAAATCATCCAAGTCCTTTCAACAGGAGGTGTAACAAAGGAAGAAACATTAAAAATGGAGTCATTGTTTTGATGCAGTGCTTTCAGAGCATCAGCTTTAAGTAATACCTTCATCTTAATTAAGTTGAAAAGGAACTCTCCAGGGTGAGGTTTGGCAAAAGAGCTTTACCTGCTTCCTTCATCTTTAGGCCAGGTACGGTGGCTCTGCGTGAGATCAGACGTTATCAGAAATCCACAGAACTTCTGATTCGGAAATTGCCCTTCCAGCGTTTGGTCCGTGAAATTGCACAGGATTTCAAGACTGACCTGCGTTTCCAGGGTGCAGCTATTGGTGCATTACAGGTTTGTAAGGATTGTGCTCCGCAGTGTTTAAGGAAAGAGTTATGCTTTTCAGATGAACACAGTGCGCTTCACTGGATTATAAACCATGTATGCTGACTATTTTATTTTTTCTTTCCTGTTGATCCAAAAGATTTTTCACAATATACTACACAAAAAAATCAAAATGTCTGTCATCTGTTTTCACACAACTAGATGGTAGGTTGCATGTTGAAAAGGAGGAGTCTGTCAAATATATCAGCATTATGCAGTTAAATTACAGCCTTATTCTCATGTGACACATTATTGTAAAATTATTGCTTTGTACTTCCATGCTACCTCTCATCTAGTTCAAGTAGGTAGCTGCGTCAGCATGTGTACTGTAGGCTGCAAAGGAACAAGTAGAGGTTTATTCCATGCTGAAAAGAAAAACACAACGTTTTGGCTGTGGAGCCTTGTTCAAGTCCTGAAGTCCATGCAGCCTATGCATAGTGATGCAGCTACCTACTTGAAAAAAATACATTGATTTGTCTTTCTGGGAATGATGATTTCTTCTCTTTTCAGCATGGAATGAACCTTTACTTGTACCTCTCATCTACCTGAGATGCACGCTATTGCTTCTGTTCTGTTGATTGGACCAACATGGATTTTTTTCTTTCTTTTAGGAAGCAAGTGAGGCATATCTGGTAGGCTTGTTTGAAGACACCAACCTCTGTGCTATTCATGCCAAACGCGTCACAATCATGCCGAAAGACATCCAGTTAGCACGCCGCATCCGTGGTGAGCGTGCCTAATATAGAATTGTGGAGTTCTGAAAAAATCTTCCTTTCTCTTGGTACTGATAAGTGTTGTTTTATTATATGCGGGAAGAATTCATGAGGTCAAGTGAGGTGAAAAGGAAGGTGGTCATTTTTCTTTACATTTTCATATGTGATCTTTTTCATTGTGTGTCTTACAATCCAAACATTTTGCCTGGAAATATTGACAAAAGATTGATTTTTAAAAATTATTTAAGCATTTTAATATGCTTGGATGTTTTTTGGACTATGCCAACATAACTTTTATTGTTTGTTTTTTAAAAGGGATGGGCGATAGTGCCAATTTTAACTTTGATACTATGCCAAGCAATACTGGGCAAGTATGGATGATTACAATGCTGATACTGTGTTTAATATTCAGACTGTCTCTTCAAACTTTCTTTGCTAATACCTTCCATGTTGCTTGTTCATATGGTTTGAGAGCATCTGTGGTGGACCTGATCAGCAGGTCATTTTTTACTGAGTGTCTTGTAAAAATATTCACCCCCTTCCTATGATATCCCATTTTTGTGTTGAACTGCAAGATGTCTACACTTTGTTACCTGCATATGTTAAATCATAAGTAAAATGCACAAACTGAACACCGTTCCACCCCAACAAGTCACTTGATGAAATTACTTTTGCTATTAATTATAGCTGCAACTCTTTTTAGATAAATCCGTCAACTTTGCACAATGTCCCATTATTTTTGCAAAATTGCTCTGTCAGATTGATTGATAATGGAGAGCAATTTTCAAGTCTAGCCACAGATTTTCTGTTGGCTTGAAGTTGTGACTTTAACTGGGCCACTCAAGGACTTTCACGTTCTTTTTTTAAATACCCCACCAGTGTACCTTTAGCATTGTGCTTTGGGTCTGCTCAACATTCAATTTCTGTCAAGATTTAAAGTCCTTTAGCTTTATGACACAGGTTTTCCTCTTCTGTTTGTACTTTATTGGGTAGTATGATACACCTTTAACTTTATAATGATGGTCTTAACTGTCCTCAAAGATATAGTCCGATATATTCTGTAATCACATGAACCATTATTGTTACACACAGAAGCCATTAGATAATTGTACAGTTTTGTCAAAATGTGTGCACTTGTCAGATTTGTTTGTCTTCTATAATGGAAGTGAATGTTTACTTTTTTTCTTTGTACAGTTTTTACCGACGTTGAGCTTTTTACTCATTATTAAGTGTTCAGTTTTTGCATTTTATATATATATAAACTTTAATAATGTTTACATCTTTTATAATTCAATGAAGTGTGATGGCATTTGAAGGGATGAATACATTTTCAAGGTACTGTATACAGTATATAGAAAGAGAACAGGCCCCATAAGATTCCATCTAAAAGGTTTTTCTGGGCAGTACTTTTATTATTATGTTAATAAAACACTACCTGTTGCTTGGTAGTTTCTTGACATGTAAGTTCTTGTATCAGGATGGCAAGTAATACGTAAAACCTTTGTTTTTAAAGTGGTTATCATTTTATTCAAGTTCACTTTAATAAATAAGTTAAAACACAATGTGGATTTTTTAACACTAAAATCCAATACATTTGAATTTTCAAATACTGAAGTCAAATAATGTTTGAACTTCAGTTTAATTAAATTTGTTGTCCTTTGTACAGAATACCGGGCTCACAAACAAAACCTAGTGCTAAATGCTCCATATAAAGTCTAGGTAAAAACCATTTAGGAGAACAATCTATTATTAGATATCTATAAATTCATCATAAAATCAGTCACAGAGGACAGAGTCATTACCTGATTTACATTGGCCTAGCAATGTAGAACAAAAACTTGACAAGTAAAAAAGTTAGGTTGTAATTCTAGCAATAGAATTTTTGTAATTCTAGCAATAGAATCTCTTTGGGAGAAGTGACACATTTAAGTGATGATTTGTCACTCTGGACAAAAACCACAGTATGTACTGTATTAGTATACCTCTACAGTGCCAATGCGTTGCTGTGTGTCATTTAAACCAATGAGACTTGACCTGTTTTATCTGTATGGTGTTTTGGGGATCTGTTTCTGGAATGAGTCTTGTAAAGATGTCTGTGTCAAAGACATTGCAGCAGCGAAATCGTCTTTTTCTCGTGCCAACTTGTTGTGCAGTGTTAGCATATCTAGTTGGATGCTTAATTTTAAGGTGCTTAAACAAATTACCAGTATTTCTATTTTTATGCACTTTGCATTTACAAATATTGCAACTGGTTTTAATTTCTTGTTAAAAAATAATTGTAAATGTTTTTTTACAGTAATGTTGCGCACTGTACTAGCGTACCTTCACTTGATTGGCCAAGGTATTCCTTTTGATCCTGATTTCTGAATTTCAATAAATGCTGTTCTACTTTTCAGTCAACATAAAACATGAACTTTGGTATGAGCAGTTTGACACAGTTTCCTTCATACGTAAAAATGGTCATTCATTTTGTCAGAATGTGCTAAAAATAAGTCAAAGTTGATATTTTGGTGAAAATATACCAATAACAGAAAATAAATGATACCAAAAGTATCAGATACTTAAGTATTTGTTCACCCACCCCTAGTTTTTAAATGCCACTATATTTTTTGTACTGTATGCCTGATATTGCTAATGTTTTAAAACATTATCACTGTAGAATCGGTCTAATGTTCTTTTTGTATGCTGTCTTGTATACAATTTAAGTGTTTGTGGTGTCTCTGCAAGTTTACTATTAAATTACTTTATAGTCCTAAATTTTGTCTTTTTTTTCCTGTCACCCAACACTGATTAAATATTTAGATGATATTGCAGTAAAGGATAGTCCCCAGGTCAGCTGTGAAAAATGTAAAAAAAATAAAATTAGATGTAACCTCTTGATTCCTAGCTATCTAAACCACTCCATATGTTTGATAATTTGAAATGGCTTAAATACCAATGTTTGCATTTTTTTTTTGTAGCACATTATAAATTATGTTGTAATTTCTACATTAAAAAAACAATTTTTAATGTACAGTATTTCCATGTATTTTAAATATTAAATAAGTATATTTAATAAGTAAAAGCCTGCAATGTGGAGTCGTGGTTAGAGCTCAGAAGTATGGACTGGAAAGGCACCAGCCAAAATAATGTTGATGATGATGAAGAAAAGCTTCAGCAAAGTATTGTATAAAAAATCTTACCATTTCCAATAACGCACAGGTTTTAAAATTTGCAAGGAGGAAGTAAGAGAGTTTTTATTAATCTTCCATTTCCACATGCTTCTGCCACCATTTTACAAGAGAATGGATGCCCTCATAACAAAAGGATGTTAGCTGCGCCCGAGTCTTTCTTGCACCATTACTTGGATCTGGTTGTCTTCCCTGACGCTCTGATCTCGGAGAACCTCCTTCTGTGGTCTGAATGGAAAATTTGTTGGTGCAAGAGCTTGACGGTAAGGTAGGATAAGGATTCATATATGAACTTCTCTATGTACTGTATGTCTCACCATGTCTGGGGGTGTGCTGTTCGGTGTTGAGGAAAAGGGTACTTTTAAAAAGTAATACATTTCAATTAAAAGTTACTTGTGTAAGGGAATAGATAGTAGTAAAGAATGATCTCTTTAGAATGAGTATAGCCACTATGTAAAGGAATACATTACTTTCTAAAAGCAACTTCCCTCTTTAAAAAGGTAAAACATTACATATTTTAGTATTCTGCCCCTCGGGATGGACTACCAGCACTAATTCCTTAAACGTTCTGTCACACATGTTCACTTTTTCCTACTTCTCTCACTATATAAAGGGATCTCACTAGTGCACCACACCTGTTAATAATTAAAAGAGAAGCAACTTGAGTTTGCACCCCTGAGATGTCCTGCCTGTTCCTTCTCCACTCAATTACACACTTTAAGGGAAAAGAGGATGACTGCTGTGTTGTAAGTGGGATTCCCATCACCTCAGTCCCAAAAGGCAAACATGGATGTCAGGAAGAATACAGACAAACTATTTGGCAGATTCGTGGATGAATTAGGATAAGGGTGCCTACTTTCAGGATTGCTTTCCTCTCGCAGGTGTATGGCTCTGATTCACACTAGAGCTGAACCAGGACAGCCAGCTTCCCTGTTTGACAGGAGTCTTAGGTGGGACCATGATAGTGGAGCTTGCTTTAGACTTCCAAATTAAAGACAACCTAAGTCATTGGACACATAGATCCCAAAAGAACTGCTGTTCTCAATGCACACAGGACCTATCAGAGGGGCTGGAATGTTTAGCTTGAAGCCAGGGACCTTGACTGAGGGACACAACCACACAAGGTCAGAGGAGGAGAAGGCTGTACTACTGCCAATAAGTTTTGAAGGGAAAGCTCAAGGGGTTCTGTTAGATCTCTAGTTCCTACCTATTACATTGCAGTGGTTAATATTTAGATTTATTTATGAAAAAGTAGCTAAACTTAATTTGGGGACCACTTTCTCAGAATGCTACATTTATATCATGGTCTCATAAACCAAAGGTGTTCATAGCAAATTACATTATGACTTTTCTCTTAAGTTTAAGTTCAAGTTCATTGTCATTATACTCATAAACAGGTATATGGTATAATGAAATGCTATTTAGCTAGCTCTCATAGGATAAGTTGTACAAAAAAACAACAATACAATTGTATAAGAAAAAGACAGAAACAACAGGCGGTGTGCAAAACAACAACAGGTAAAAGGTAATGTGCAAAACAACATCGGATTTGCAAAATCATACATCAACAGAATAAAATAAAGAATAGAAAATGATGGGGAGTGAGCTTCTTGACATGTGAGGTAGAGGTAGATTTCAATGTGTGTTTGAGTTTTTGGTAAGAAGGCACTGTGAGGTTCAGATCGTAAGTGATAGAGGCTGGGAGTTCGATAGTTTGATAGTGTGGGGGTAAAAACCGGACCACTGTCTCTGAGTCTGGTGGTCCGGGCCCGAATGCTCTGGGACCATTATCCAGATGGTAGAGGGTCATACAGTCTGTAGCTGGGGTGTGTGGGGTCTTTGATGATGCTTAGAGGTTTCCTCAAGCACCGTCTGTCATAATTGTCCTGTATGGATGGGAGGGCAACCCCAGGGCTTTGCGGTCAGCAATACTGCAGTTGCCATACCACACTGTGATGCAACCTGTCAGTGTGCTTTCTGTAGTGCATCTGTAAAAGTTAGTGAGGATCTGGGGACATATCTTAGCCTTCTTCAACCGTCTTCGGAAGTACAGGCGCTGTTGCGCTTTTTTGATCAGACAGGTGGCGTTGAGAGACCACGTGGGGTCCTCGGTGATATGGACGCCAAGGAATTTGAAGTTACTGACCCTTTCCACTTCAGTCCTTAACACCTCTGTAATCCATTCCAATGCACAAATCTCACAGTAGCGAGTTTATTAGTATAAAAAAATCATTTATATGATGATGCATCCGCTTTTTTCCCTTACAACAGACGTTTTATGGGGTTATTTGAAAGGTTTTTGGCGTTGCTTGCCTTAGTCAGTCACAGTTTTGTTTAGCGTCTCCATGGCAGCCGCGTTAATTCCGTGGTTGCCAGGTTACCATTTTAAGTATGGGAAGCAAACCCAGTGCGCTCAGATGTGCTCGGAGAAACTATAAAGCTCAGTACCACTGGTGGAGCTTGGAAACGGAGTCCAAACTCTTCACTTGCAGCTAGGAAGTGAAACGCGATGGCTTTAAACCCAGCGCAAGGACTACCCTTTTTACCTGGAAACACGTTTCGGGATCCCACGGTAAAGTTGCTGTCATTATCATTGAATAATTCAACATAACATCATACTCTGAATTGAAGTAACCTTTATTGTCCCGAAGGGAATTTGTCTTGCTCAACAAGAGTTCATAACATATAGCATGTATGACAGGAAGACAATATAGCAACAGTACAATACCATGATAAAAAACGTCACTCTGCTGTAAAGATTGAACAGTTTACCAAAAACCCGAAAGAAGAAACTTGTGTTTTTCACTTTAGAAATACTCGTCCCCCATATCCATCACACGCCCTGTTACGGAATGAGTTCGGTTTATTGGCGATCAGGTTTTAATATAGATAAGTAGAACTGTGAGTTTGTGTCGTGACTTGGGCAAAAAACTGTGAAGTATTTTTGCTTAACTACGTTATGAACGTATTTTAATTAAATTTAAGACAAATTATCCTTTGTATATACAAACAACGCGAAATGTGGTGTTTATAACTTAAAACAAAGTGTAAAATACTATAAAATGTACAACAGCAGCACTATATAATGATATTGTATTCAATAATATTGTTAGTGTATGTAATAATGTTAATATTAACTGAACCTATCAATAATTAATGTAATATAGTCGGCTCAACGGTTTTTGCAAAATATGTTTATATACAGTATGTGTACATTTTGTTTATATTTATTTGTATATTGCATTTTAAGAAGTCTTCTCGAAAATAGAAAGTCACACTTTTGTTAGATCACATTTTTTCAGGAAATGTGCCTTTCGCTAATTATCTTCTCCTTGTTTTAATAATACATTAAAAACACTTGTTTTGATGTTATGTGTTTAACTTGATATAATAGGTTGCTAAGTACTCATTAACATAAACGCATCATTGGCATTGTCATAGACAATGACAAACTACTTGTAAGTTCAGAACATTCAGTGAACAGCAGGTATAGTTTTCTTGGATTTAAATTACATTTTTTGCTGGATGCCCAAGAACTCTGCTTTTTTATTGTCTTGATGAGGATGTAGAAGAATACAAATCTACATAAACACCCAGACCCCTCATACCAACCAATATTCCTGCAGCTCAGAATCACTCTGTATCCTGTATTGAGTATTCCTGCATTCTGCGTGGATCGCTTTGCACTTGCCGGCATTAAATTTCATTTGTGAAGTGTCCTGCCAGTCCATGATCTTGTCTTTTTGTTAGCCCCTTTCTACTGTTTCTGTTTGCCACTGTTCTCAGGAGAGCTTCTAAAATATCATGGAGTATGCCAACATGTACAAAAGAGTAAGCACATATTAAGTCTTTTGAAAACAAACCTTGATTTGTGTATTTGTTAAAAATGTATTGTTTGCAAAGCAGGTACAGTACCAAAGTTTAGAATGATACATTAAACAGAAGACTACAGCAAAATGATATTTAACCTACTCAGTCCCATCGCAACACATAAACTGTACTAAACCCTCAGGGACTAGAAAGCTGCATATGACAGAGAGAAACCTCAATTCCAGAACTGACGGGCCTCAGACATCACAGACTGTGATGCTCCACAGCAGCTGTAGTCTCATCTGACTGATGGTTGCTTTTGTTTGTCATTCAGTGATCTTCATTCCTGTCAAATGTTAAAGATGAATCAAAAGGAGGCTGTGGGTTTTAGCAAACCCACCAACGTAAAAGCTCTCACTCTTGCTAGAAGCAAATAGCAAGAAAACATTTCAACAACTAGTTGATGACACACATTGAACTACATTTTTTTCACAGTTGAACATTGTAAGTAAAAGCCAATAAATAGCACAATGAAGAGCTCAACTTATTCTCTGACTAGTATTTGATGGCAGGTTCTTTTTGGGCGGAAAAAAAACTGCATTGAAGGACTGTATTTCTTTTCTATTTGTTGGCAGATACGGGAGGTTGAAGTTTTGTTTCAATACCTCCAGGATTGGTAGAGTGATAAAGACAAGACAAAGAACTCTTAAAAAGACATTTAGTCTGCTTAGGACAAAGATGAATATTTTATTACCGTCAATGGCCAAAGAGCACATTGAACCAAGTTTGGATTTCTTAGTCTTAAAGACTTTTCAGAATGACACTTGCAGAACCCCTGAGTGTTCAACCAAAACATAAGCTCATTCATTCTCCCCTTGCATTGAAAGGAGTTCTTGGAATGAGGTGACACGAAAAGAAACAGTTGTCAACTTCAAAACTCAAAAGAACTCTTGAAAAATACATCTTTATAACTCTGTTGTGCTTCTTTCTTCTAGAAGTCATCATTCCACCGGTCGCAGACGCTGGACTATAAGAATGGCTATGCTTTGCCACGGCGCCCAAGGGTGGGCATTGGACAGGATCCCCTTCTTTCCAATCAGATCTCCCAATCTGAGCTCAACCAGCTGGCCACCTTGTATCCTACTCTGATCTATGGACAGTCTCGCCCCTCGCCCCCTGTGGACTTTATCCCTGCACATGTCGCCTTTGATAAGAAGGTATGGTTCATTTACATCACATCAAACTGCACACATTAGAAGAACAGTCTAGAATGTGAACTTCCCCATTACCCCCAAAAGGCTGTTCAAGGTATTTGATCCACATCATTTTAAGTGATCTGGTCTTCAGACTATCCTAGTGTGATAAGTGCAACATCACAATCATCCACACTTGTGTAAAAGAATGTTTCTTTTTCGTTAAATGGAGTTTTTAATGAAAGTTCGGGAGGAATGAAGGCAGCCGCGCTCATTCGACACAGCTGCTGGAATTCTGACTAATCCTGACATAAGCAACCGGTCTCCATAAATATCAAACGTCACCCTCTCCTCTTCCTCGTTCATTTTCTGCATCCCTCCTCCACCCCCTCTCCACCTTTGCAGCTACCCCACTGGTCACATGGGGGTCCTATCCTCCCCGTCCAACGGCCGGGAGGTTGGCCCTCAGCCAAGCGGGTTACGCCAAATCTCCACATCACAATAAAGAATTCTAATTTCTCCCAAGCTTTCGGCTGCTGTCATTCCTCGTGAATTGCAAAAGTATGTTTACACAGATACAATTAATAGATTGAGCTTTGAATCTGTTTACAATTTTACAACTCTAAAATAATCTGGATCTTAATAAGGCTCCCATGGATTAAGCATTATAATCTATGCATTCATGAGCAGAATGATGTTTATTCCTGGTAGTGGTTACAGCAAACCAGAGTCCATCCTGGAAGCATGGGGTGCACGCAAGGCAGTGCTACCACCTGTATAGCACACCAGTCTGTTGCAGGGCAAACTCATGCAAACATACAATTTAGAGACACAAATTATCTTACTGTAGCTACTGTAGCATGTTACAAACAGTGCAAGTATGGAAAAATAAACATTTTTTTGCTAGAATCTTTTTTTTTCATTGAACATTCTATATACATATACAAAGTACAAATATGGAAAATGAAATAATTTCAGTAGCTTTTAGAGTTATTCTTACAAATTAGAATAGGTGTGTTGATTATACTTAGCATACTGTATGCAATCCATGTGCAAATGTTGTGGTATTCTGTTGGTTTGGGGGTCAGCAGGTTAATCTAGCTTTCTAGTCTTTATAAGATCTGTTGTTGGCTTAGCTTTATGGTTGATATCTTTATTTTGATTGAATTGTAAAATATGTTTGATATGATTACAGTGACTAGCAGCATGCCTTGGAAGCTGAATACTTTAGTTTTGTTAATCTAATCATTATTCAGATGCTTTGGCTATTTTAAAAAAATATCACATACCAGCACATTATATCACCCTGCAGTGGCAAGTGGCATCTCACTGAGGCTAAGCAGGTGTGAGCCTAGCCAGTCCCAGGATGTGAGACCTCCTGAGAAATCTAAGGTTGTGTCTGGAAATGGTGATACTGGGGCCAGTATGGGGTGCTCACTCTGCAGTCTGTGGGGTCCTGAAGCCCCAGTATAGTGATGGGGACACTATACTGTAAAAAAGTGCTGTCCTTCAGATGAGACATTAAAAACCGAGGTCCTTACTCTCCACTTTCCGTCCTGGCCAAATTCCCCATTGGCCTTTACCAATTATGGCCTCCTAATGATCCCATCTATAAACTGGCTTCATCACTCTGCTCTCCTCCCCACTGATAGCTGGTGTGTGGTGAGCATACTGATGGGCACACTATGGCTGCCGTCATGTCATCCAGGTGGATGCTGCACATTGGTGGTGGTGGAGGGGAGTCCCCATTACCTGTAAAACGCTTTGAGTGGAGTTTTCAGAAAAGCACTATATAAGTGTAAGCAATTATTATTATGTTCCTTCAGCGTCTGTTCTTGAGCCAGTATCATTGTGAAAAAATAAGGGACATGTCTTTCCTCTTGCCTGCAGGTTTTGCGGTTTAATGGGTACATCAAGCAGGAGGTGGTGGGTTCTCCAGATGAGGACTACCGTGTGCGCCCCGTGGTGATCTGTTATTACCTGGAGGATGACAGCATCGCTGTGATGGAGCCAGTGGTGGAGAACTCTGGGATTCCTCAGGGCAAGCTGATTAAGAGACAACAGTTGCCCAAAAATGATCACGGCGAGCATTATCATTGGAAAGATCTGAACCTAGGCATTGATTTGTGTGTATACGGTACTGCCTATCGCCTCGCACACTGTGACTCCTATACACAGGTGAGCTCATAATCATGCATGTGGGGCTGTCACAATTTGACTACACAAAGTGTCCACTAATGGAGTCCCCACAGGATCCTTGCTAACAGGATTTAGAACCTTGTTAGTTCAGGAAGCAAATTGTGACCATTTATAGATTCATCCTGATCACCTGTTTAAAGTTACATTAGGTGAAACGCTGCTGGGAGGTACAGTATGCTTACATTGTGTGCAGGCTTTCAAAGTGAGTGTTGTATAGTAAGCAACACTTTATACAAATGACAAAGGATTTATGTATCCATACTAAATTCTAAAATATAGCTCACTTCCAGTAGATGGGCCTGCAAAATGCTTGGTCAGAATTCTCTTTTTTCATGAAACAGTATTTATTTTGGGTACATGTAATATACGGGGGCCGTGGTAGCTCAGACAGCAAGGGTGTCTATCTCCTGACCGGAAGGTCCCGCGATCAATCCCAGGTAGGGGCAAGTGATGTAGCTTGCTCTAAATCCTTCCAGATGGCTCCCAGGTCCACTCAGCCTGCTTTCCAAATGAGTACCGGGGGTTAATCCTTCTGGGGGTAATAGGCCAGCCGGAGCGTGATGCTGACCACATCACTGCCACCTCCAGTGTCGTATGGTTGTGAAAAATGGTGGCCCTTGCCCCCCATTCCCCCCATGGGCCCCTTGCCCCCCATTTCCCCCATGGGCCTTTATGTCTTGAAAAGGGACCTGCCTACTAAATGTAATACACAAATTCTAACTCTATGAACACTACATTATAGATACTGCTAATTGCAGGTCTGATAGTTTTTTCTAAAAGCTAAAATATTTACTAGTGCTTCAGTAAAATCTAACAATAATTATTAAATTAAATTTGGTTAACAATTTTAAATTGTGTTTAATAAAGTATAAGACTTTATCCTCCTTAACAAAATTATTACCTTTACTTGTGTCTACATTTTGATAAGAATAGATTTACTGTATTTTCATAAGAAAATGTTTGTCTTTTTTTAGAGCTACAACAAATGGAAATATTTCTGCTTGTCACTAGGGCGGAGCGGTGGCTCTGTGGCTAAGGATCTGCGCCTGTGACCGGAAGGTTGCCGGTTCAAATCCTGCGGCCGGCAGAGGAATCCTACTCCGTTGGGCCCCTGAGCAAGGCCCTTAACCCCAACTGCTCCAGGGGCAGTATGGGGTAAAGAAACATTATTAGTGTTAATTTATGTTCAGGTTTTGACTAAGTACATTGTTTTGTGACAGGAGTTCCTAGAGAGTCAGGGGGTAGTCCTGAATGAGCCAGAAGACATCCCCAGTGATCCGTACATTGAAAGACGGGCTCAACCTCTGCGCTCCTACATCACCCCCTCCGATTTTGACCGTCTCAAACAATTTTTAACCATGGACCGTAAGGTACAGCTTTAGAAGTAGGTAGTAGCTTCTGATTTTTCAGAGGCATTTCCTAAAACCCTTCTGAAAAGGGGACTTTTAAGAAAAGTATCCCCTGCTGGAGGAACTTTTAACTTATCACTTGAATTGGAAAGGATCCTGGTAAAAAACCTTTTAATTGCAAGCATGAGATTTTAAGTACATGTTGCACAGACTACTTGCTTTTTTGAACATCAGTTCGGTTTCTTTTTGGGCTGATACTGTAAATAGATTAAACAATGTGCTTATAATGAATAATGAATAATTAATTTCTCTTCATTTTTAAATTGCATCAAATGATTTCCTACTGTCTTGCTTGCAGTTTTGTATGTTACAGTTTCACTGTATTCATTTCCTCATCTTTCTTTGAAACCTTATTCAATTTACTCACAGGGAGGTATTAGTTAAAGAAAAACCCCGTTAATGAAGGTCCTCCTAGTAATTAGGTCAGAATTAGGCCTTCCCTCTTTATTCTGTGAATCTCCTCAAACCCCTGTGTTGAAAGTGCTTCGATCCTTTCCAGGTGCTCCGGTTTTATGCCCTGTGGGATCACACAGACGCTCTCTATGGGGAGACTCGCCCTGTCACAATTCAGTACTATCTAGTGGACGACTCAGTGGAGATCCGGGAGGTTCATGAGCCCAACAATGGCAGGGACCCCTTCCCGGTTTTGCTGCGGAGACAGAGGCTGCCCAAGCAGACCCGGACCTCTGGCGGTAAGGGGCTGCCAGTCAGACACAATATACACCCATGGTCAAGTATGTTGACAAAATGGGATTAGTAGGTTGATGCAGCTTATCAAACGTATATTGTAGGTCAGAAACACAGAAAGTTTTCAGAAAGCCCTGCCTTAGATATTTCAGTGGACCTCAAATCACTGGTTAAATATTTAGAGATTTTGGGAATTGTGACTAGTATTGGATTTATTTTAAATATAATGTGAAAACACTTTTGCCTTTGTCCAAAGACATCTAGCTTCAAACCACTCTCATTCTGTGCTATAATTAATACAGGTCTGGTTAGATTTTATGGAAATATTAAGAACTAAAGACATTTTACATATACTGTATATACACTGCACATAAAATGCTAGTAATCTGGGAATACAGTGTGGTAGGGTATTTAGAAATGAACAACATTGTAAGGGAAGCGTATTGTAGTACTAATAAATCCACTTGTGGTCAAGGCTGTGGGCTCTGGGGGTTGGGGGTTGTGGGTTGAAATCCTAGATGGGGATCAAAAACGCTTCACTCCAGTTTCTCCAGTAAAATACCCAGCTGTCTGGGTACAAATGGGTGGAAATTTAAGTAAGGTGGAATAAAAGCATTAGAAAAAATTGAAAAATGCAAAACATCATAACATCATTGTACATTACATACTAACATCATTATGTACATCAAATTATATAATGAATGTACTGTGTAGATAACATTTTCCCTCCAAAAACATTAGGATAGCAACATCAATATTTATGTTTTTGCTTTATAATAAGGGAATTTGTATTTGTAATCCTATGCTTAATATGAATGATAAGTACAAAATAGTTTTCTGGGGGTAATTCCATGCATGGATTTGGTCATTTTGGTCTAATAAATAGTTCTGCTTTGTTGTGTCTCTGAGGTGACAGTAGTTTTGGGCTCATTGGTGTGATCGTCCCTTCCCTACAGACTCCTTTCCGACATCTGTACTAGAGATCTCAGACAAGGAGGTAGAAGAGTATTTGTCCCCTAAGGACTTCAGGGTGGGAGAAACCATTACCATCATGGGGCGCCGCTTCCTTCTATATAACTGTGACGAGTTCACCAGGAGCTACTACAAAGAACACTTGGGAGTGACTGATTTCAAGCCAGTTGACGTGAACATGAAAGAAAGTGTGGAGAAGAAGAAGGTGAGTTTCCTGCCTCTGGGTTTCTACGATATATAGACTGACAGAGCTGTGATCCAAGCCCTGTATGGACTTAAAAAAAAAGAAATATCAATACATGTAAAATATGAATTAATTATTTTTCATTCCTATGTTTACTGTTACTTTGTTTTGATCCTAAAACATATGTGCTTATCCATAGTGAGTAGATCTATAAACAGGGAGGTACACCAGATGAAAGGTTAATGATAAAAACTGTGTTTTATCTGAATTTGTTTTAATACTTAAGGTGAGATTCACAGATAACATACGATAAAGAAATGTGGATAGAGAATGTTGTGTGAACACCCCTAAAGATTATTGCTGAGTGTCATCATTTCCTTAAAAGATCTTCAGTCTTTTATATGAAGTTTACATGAGAGTTTTTTGTCCTTCTCACAGGAATTCCCTCCTTACAATGGGTTTGGCTCCCTTGAGGACTCTGTGCAGAACTGCCTGTCCCTCATCCCTGAGCCGCCAAAGAAGGATCTAATTAAGATGTTGGAAAATGACCACAAAGTGCTGAGATATGAAGCCAGACTGGTAAGGCTCAGTTTATAATGAGTATTATTATAGTTACTGAGTTACTTGTTTCAGGTTTACACTCCCTTCAAAGTAAGCATGTTGATTCACACAGAATCAAGGCTAAAGGTTTTGCTGCACTTCATGTGAGTTTAACTAGAGTAGATCCTTACTCATTCCTCATTCATGGTTTTCAAAGTATACTGGGTTTTTGCTACAGTGTAGTTATACTTCAGCAACAGTCTCCTGAAGAGAGATTTTCCAGAGATTTTGGTAAGTGCATCTTATTACAATATAATTGATGTTATTGAAATCGTAATTACCTTGGGGTCTTATGTGATCTTACTAGGGCATTATTCCAAAAAATATTGTAGTATGAAAAGGGCAGCCATAGTAATGGAAGGTGAGGTTGAATAGGATTCAAAGGATTTAAGTTAGAACAGTTTGTGTAATACATAAATTAGCCTTGATTTGCCACAAGCTTCAGTAAAAGTGTTTTATAAGAGCAATCATACACCCCCACTAGTCAGGGACCAGTCCAAGCTATGTGTCTTCATTAATTAGCTGTGAACAATGCTGGTGCAGATATGGATTAATCCTTTGTGGTGTCTCGGGACTTAAAAGCCCTGCCAAAAGAATGTCTGTAAACTCTAAATCTGTGTTTCTGCCCGGAGTTCATCTCCCAAGGAGCCAGATGTCAAATACTATAGGTGCTTCTGTAAAAACAGAATTTCAGCCACATTCAAAGGCACGCTGCAGTATTCCTTCTATTTCTGAATGAAAAATACTGCCTTTTTGAGTTTCACTACAAATATTGTGGTCATTGAAGTCTTAGGTTATTGTCTATAGCTCAATCATTATTCTGTAAGTGTATCTTACTCACAGTGCATGAAAAATGTATAACACTGAGATTGTTATGTTTCTAAGAAAACAATATTTGCACACCTTGTAAAAAACAATCATTTGATAAGCTGATTATATCAGAATACTTAACATGGGTACATTCAGCATAGGCACAGAGAGACAAGGTTATCTTTTTGCCTGTATATATTGTTGTACAAAGACAGTATTTCTGGGTTATGTTTCTATTCCTTCCTACCACATATGAGAACGCTCTAATTTTTTATACAAAAATGAAAATTCAAGCCAGAATATTAACAATATTGGGTCAGTACAAAACATTAATTGTTCTCACTGGACATTCTCTGAAGCCAGACAATGAGACAATTCAAGTTCCATATGTTCTGTTTCCAAAAACTGAACAAAATCTTTAAAAAAAAATAACATAGGAAAACAATGTACAGAACAGAAAAAAAATAAGCAAGTGAGGTTTTCTGAAGAATGTGACCAGGTGAATAAATGTCTTTCCACAGAATTCTCAGAATCCCCAGGACAATGGACGCCGTTTTATCCTCTCCTACTTCCTGTCTAATGATATGATCAGCATCTTTGAACCCCCTGTCCGTAACTCTGGAATGATTGGAGGAAAGTTCTTGGAGAAGACACGAATTCCCAAGCCTGGTAGCACGGTGGACAATCCACAATATTACGGTCCAGAAGATTTTGCCATTGGATCCACAGTAGAGGGTAGGCCTGTGTGTGTGCGTGTGTACATAGACATGTATTTTTAAGAGCCATGTGCAGGTGATCATGAAGGAGCAATGAGGAGATCTGAGCTGTTTATTCATTGCTTGAGCTACAGAATATTTCCATTTGTGCTTTTCTTTCGAGCAGTAGTGTGGCACCTTTTCATAAGATTGTAAATGTTCTACTACTGAATGGCCAGAATATCTTTTATTATAACCTCTAGCTATTTTATACTATTTAAATCCTCAGTGATCTGTGCAGAATATTCATGTTCTTGTGAGAATGGGCTCATGGTCCTGTTCATTGCAAGAAGACCAGTTATAGCAGCCAATTATAAATATTGTATTCAGTTTGGTGATTTGATATCTGGGAAATACAGATTATTCTACACTAACACCAAATCTTATAAATAGTGGGGGGTTAAATGTAGGATCCTGGCACAAATTATAATAAATGACTGAAGTTAAAGGATACGTTCAGAAATTATTCTGAGAAAAGTCATGTGGTTTTATTATTTCTGGCATTTTAAAGGCAGTGTAATGGACAGAAAGCTCACCAAAAATACAAAGATTTATTTAGTAACAAGTAATAGGTTTATTCCATGCTGAAAAGAGAAGAAAGGAAAAACGTTTCGGCATGGAGCCTTCTTCGTGTGTGACACCCGTGTGTGTGGCTCCACAGCCAAAAAGTTGTGTTTCCTTTCTTCTCTTTTCAGCATGGAATAATCCTTTACTTGTTCCTTTGCAGCCTACGCATCTTGACGCAGCTACCTACTGGAAAGATTTATTTATAATAATGACAAACCAAAAGAAAAATACAAGATACACAATTATCTTTAAATAATGCAGAAAGACTGTACCTGCAAGTTCCTGAGTCCACACCTATTCTCCCCTCAAAGTTAAACAAACCGTAATCCACACTGACATTAATATAATTGAGTGGTTAAGTATTTGTCATTTGAATGTTTATCATTAACTGTTCTGTTTGGTAGTAATAATATACGATTTAACAGACAATTATCAATAACAGACCACACTTTCCTTCTTTCGTCTGTTAAATCTGGCCTTTACTGTATTATACCTCTCTCACAAAAATATCATAGCCAGTTTTATAGAGGAAACTATAAACAATCTATTTATAACATAAAAAGATTTTAGGAGGGGTTATTTTTGCAGAACATCTCTGTTTTCAAATTGGATTATTCCCTTGTCTCAATTTTTAGTTTTCAGACACCGTTTCATACTGACAGATGCAGACATATACGTTTTAAAGTATCTAGAGACAATCGCAGACCGCATCCCGGAAGACACTCTGAACTCCTTGCGCCAAAGGTCAAAAGATACACTTCAGCTGCAAGAACACTCAAACCAGCTAGGTAAGTTATGCAACCTTTTTCTTTGGCTTTATTTAGTCAAACTGCTGAAATTATGTTTAGAATTAATTTAATATCTTAACATTCCAGTTTATATTGCACATGAAAGCTATCTAGGCAGCGCAGTGGCCCAGTGGTTAGCATTCCTGCCTCACGATGCTGGGGCCCTGGGTTCAATTCCAGACATGAGGTGCTATCTGTATGGTTTATGATGTTCTCCCTGTGTTTGCATGGGTTACCTCCAGGAGTCCAAAGACATAATGGTATTTCACTTGGCTTCTGTGAAAATTTACTTGCTGGGATAGGCACTGGCATCCGTGATAAAGCAGTTAGAAAATGAATAGATGAAACTTAACATCTTGTACATGGGTCCTGGGGTAGAGTGGAGTCATGGCTAGGATGTTGCCCCATCTTGTGCCTTATGCTTCTGGAAAAAGCTCCAGGCTGATGTGACCCTTAGTAGGAATAGAAATAATATGATTTCTAATAATAGATAGATGGCTAAAAAATGTGGGAAGAAATGTGGAAAACAATTACTCCATTCTTCCCGTATTACTGGTACTGTTGCTGGGAGTTTACTCTGCATGTCAGCATCACTTAGTCTCGGTTTGGTCTTTTGCATTTCATGAGAATTGTTGTGGTGGATTACATCCTTTGGGATAAACAAATTTGATTTTAAGTATCCAAAAATCATGAAGAGATTGGCAGTCTCAGAGAATGATTGCGCACAATACAGACCTTGCCTACAGGTAATTAATAGTAACAATACAGAAGATTCATCTCATGTGCTTTACAAATGCTTTTGTTCAAGAGTACATTCCAAAAGAGTTTAAGAAATGTTTTAATTTTGTTTTAAGACAAGCAGTTTATATATCAGCAGATAGATTGACTTGCTGCTACATGTAACAAGATAGAAGCAATGGAAATATAGAAATGAAAATACAATTGTTTCGGAAACACGTGAAAATTCAGAATTCTGAAAGTGTACAGTATGTGTATC